TCTATGGTAAGAAGTTGGTTACGCTTTGGGAAGATATCGATCACCAAAAAGAGCCATTTCCGAAAAAAGGTACCACGTCCGGTTTAGCTCTAAATTTATCTCCTAAAATATTTTATTTTGCGTCAAATTATTTTTTGATTTTTTAAACTCTCATTTTTTAAAAAAATTAAATTTTTTAGTTTTTGAGCGTGGCATCATATTGAAACGATCATCGGTCCCCTTCGTCGGGCGACACGTCGATTCAAACATCGAGTCCACTTTAAGCCTTGACACAACCGGTGTGTCGGAGGATATTTTGATTTAAACAATTATTTTTTTTTGTAACGTCGGTCCCAATCGGATAGGAGACTTCGTCGAGAATTTTAGATTTTTTGTGTGACGTCGGTCCCTACCATGTAGGAGACTTCATTGAAAATTTGGATATATATTTTTTTTGTAGGCTTTTTTTTATTTTCTCAATAAAAAAATCTAAGATTTTAATTAACTGAAATCAACTAAAATAAATTTTGAGAAATTAAATGTATTAAAATCACCGTCCGTCCCTAATGAATAGGAGACTCGTTGATCCAATATTTTAATCACATAAAAAACATCACATGTTAGAATAAATTTCACAACTAAATATCTCTAGATTTTCGAACATGCGAGAAGACAAAAAAATTATTACAAAACACATAAAAAAAACGAACACAAACAAGTCCAAAATTCACATACACCGTAAAATTACCAAAATGCCCCCGGAATACCAAGAGTCACCGCCAAGCGACCGTTTGTCTTCCGATGACCTTTCCGATGTGTGGACCACCCCGTCTTGTAGATCCAGCCATTGCGACTCCGATGGCGGTGGTTCCAACCGAAGACGACGCCGGAGGAGGGAGATCGGAGCCTCCAAAGGTTCGGTCGGATCTTCCTTCTTCACCGACGATGAATCCAACCTCCTATCGGGATTCCAAACCCACCGGTGGACTCGAAGGCCGAGAAAAGAAGTTCTATAGTGGTTAGGACCTCCAATTCTTCCTATATCGACCAATGTTTCCGAGTTTACCAAAACGGGTCGAAAATGGGTCGAGGTCAATTAAACCGTTTTCCGAGTGTCATTGAACCGTGAATTATATATGAAAATACTCGGGGAGACCCGTGATCGGGTCTATGGTGGTGGTTCTTGTGTTGGTGACCGGAGTTGAGAGAAATAAAACGGATATTGTTTCGGGTCAAATCGTGGTGGTTTGATATTCAATTTCTCTCTCCTCTCGTGATTGTTTCTCTCTCTAACCGGTGTTGATGGGCCGATCTAGTGATGGGCTACACGAGAGTGTTGTGTTTGGGGCTAAAACCAATCGAAAAACGATCGGACCGGAGGTAAACTTCCGATCGGGTAAACGGGTTGGTGAACGGGGTTGGTCGACGGGTTAGTGGCTTGTTTGGCTAGCTCCACTTAGGTTTTCGGTATATTTTTCTCGTGTTTTTTTTTTTGCTGCGTTTTTTTCTTTCTTTTTTTTTCTTCCTCGCGAATTGGAATTCGAGAGCTTTTTATAGGTCGAATACGTCCTAAAATTTCCACCAAAATCAATTCAAAAATCAAATTTTAATTGGCAAATATTAATTTTGAGATTTTTCTAGCTAAAAATAAGGACATTTCAATTTAAAAAGATTTGTGAAAGATTTTAACAGATTTTTGAATGATTTTAGAGAGGTATAATATTTTTTTCCTTTCTGTTTTTTTTCCTTTTTTTATTCTTTCTTTTTTTTGCTTTTTTGATTTTTTCCTTTAAAGGAAAATTTGGGTTATGACACCGACAACCCGATATGAATCCTTACCTATCTTTTGTAAGAGGCCTACCACATATTTATTTTGAAATAATAGGATTCCGTCAACGAGTAGTGGTTACTTTGATGCCTAGAAAATAACTCATAACTAAGATCACGAATGGAGACCCTCCGAATGAGATATTTGATGATAAAAAAAATAATCGAATCCGAGTATCCAATAATAAGCATGTCATCCACATAAATAAAAAATAGCACCTAATTGTCATGTTTGTTATAAAAAGGGAGCAATTTGTTTTGGATGATTGGAAACCCAACTCTAAAAGAAAATCATAAAGACACATAACCCATACTTATGAAGACTATTTTACATCATATAAGGAGCCATTTAAATTACATAATCAATTGGAATGACGCTCATACTTAGAACGAGAGAGAAGTCTTGAAGAGATTGAAATCTATTTTACTCGTATTTCATTAGTACTTTACATAACTCTTTTATAGGCTTTACATAAAGATAAGGATACATACTCGTTTGAAAAGTTCATATCTAAGTACAAGTGTTATCTCACATCTTCAATAAACTACTTACTGTTAGGATAAACTCGTAGGTGCGAGTGAAATGGAACACGATAGTTGTGGCTTGTTAGAGTCCTTGAAGACTCTTGTCTTAACACTCCCCCATAAACGAGACAGTGGCCGTTACCAACCGTTAGTTTGTCCCTTAAAAACCCAAATATATTTATAGATAACGGTTTTGTTAAACTATCGACTACTCGATCTTATGTGAAAATGAATTTGACCTATAGACTTTTCTTAACTATCATATCTCCGACAAAGTGGAAGTCTATTTCCACATATTTAGTACGTGTATAGAAAACGGGATTGACTACTAAATATGTGGCCCCAATTTTATCATACAAAATAATAGATTTAGTTGTTGGAAGGGAACCCAACTCACCTAACAAAGCTATAATCCAAATAAGTTCTGTCGCCAAATCCATTACTCGCTTTGTACTCTACCTCCGTAGAACTATGGGCCACCATTTTCTCGCTTAGTGGACTTCCAATTGATGAGGTTCAACCCCAAGAACACTCGCATATCCACTAGTGGATTTTCTATCATTTAGTAATCTAGCCTAGTCCGAGTGTGAAAAACCTATAAGTAATTGGGAGGTTGAGTACTTAATGTGGAGTCCATGATCTCGTGGCCTACTTGAGTTAATGTAGAATCCATTTAACCACTATCCGAGTGAGTTAACTATAGATTGTGCATAAACCGACAAACTTTGTTAATCGAAAAGGCAATCTCTAGTCCGGTCAAGGTGGCATACTAAAATACTCTTACCACTTGTCTATACAAAGTCGATTATCAAAGACTTGGCTTTCATCTTTCTATAATTTTGTTGTGGTAGGCATCCAAGTTGAAATAGGTCTATAATTCAACATATGTTGTTTAGATAGGAGATTATGAATGTATTTTTGCTGAGAAAAGACAATGCCTTGGGTGCGGACCACTTCAACTCTTAAGAAGAAATCGATATTGCCTAGATCCCGAATAACAAATTAAGAGTTGAAAGCGAGTGATGACCAACTGTAAAAATGTGTTGTTATTAGCAGTGATTAAAATGTCATTGACATAGAATAGGAGAAATACTCTATAACCATTCATCTAGTAAATGAACAAGGAGGAGTCCGTTTTGGAAAACACAAAGCCGAATGAGATAAAAAAATCATAAAGATAAGAGAACTAGGCCTTTGGTGATCGCTTAAGCCCATATAGGGATTTGTTCAATTTACAAACATATTCTAGGTACTCGAGATTCAATAAAGCCCACTCGTTAAGTCATAAAGACTTTGTCATGAAGCTTACCATTTAAAAAGGTATTATGAACATCTAACTACTTGATGGGCCACCCACACAAAATTGCCAAGCTTAAAACTACCCGAATAGTAGTGGGTTTGACTATCGAACTCGTATGTTTCATCAAAATCTCTACTTTTTACCGATGGTACCCCTTAGCTACTAACCTAGCTTTATATCTCTTAAGCCTACCATATGTATGTTTCTTAGTCTTAAACACCCATTTGTTGTAAGTGATGTTTATGGATGGATTTGGCGACACAAAGGACCAAGTATTAGGTTTTAGTAATGCATTGAACTTATATTTCATGGAAAATCTCCATTCACAAAATTGCTTAGCCTTAGAATAACAAGTGGGAGTTTCAAGAACTTGTTTACCGATCATAACTAATAAAGCCTTTAAAGAAGGCATAGAGCTAATACTTGCGAAGGTCTATGTAATGCATCCTTTAAGGTTCAGTAGTGGGCATTGGTGCAGATACTGAGAGGTCGCCTAAGTCATATTCACTAAGATCCAAAATTAAATTTAAACTAAGGGAAGAGGGGTTAGACCAAGAGAGAATTCTGGAAGAGATAGAAATGTATTTTACTCGCTTGTATTTCATTAAGACTTTACATAGTTCTTTAATAGGCTTTACATAAAGATAAGGATACATACTATTTGAAGAGTCCCTATCTAAGCATAAATGTTATCTCACATCTTCAGTAAAATACTTACTCGTTAGGAAAAATTTGTAGGTATAGGTGAAGGTGAAGTGGAACATGTTAGCCGTAGCTTAGCAGAGTCTTTAGAAGACTCTTGTCTTAACATTCATCGATAAATCCTTCGAGTTACTGCATGAAAAATCTTCATTTAAGATACACTCGAAGGAAGGCATTGTGAGCATCAAGATGGTGAATAATCCATGATTTTGTTACTCGTTAAGGAGATTTTGTTATTATTAAGGAGAAGACACACCGAATGGATGTAGTTTTAAGAACTAGGTTAAAGGAATTCGAATAATCCACCCTCTATTGTTGATGAAAACCTCTATCATAAGTATTACCTTAGGCCTTTCTATACCGCCATTAGTTGTCTTTTTAGTTCGATAAACTTATTTGCCCCCATTAACATTCATGCCATTTATGCGAGGAACTAAAGCCTAAATGTCATTGTGTAATAAGGTATTAATTTTAGTAGCCATTGTTTGCCTTCATTCATGATATTTTTAGGTTTGAGAAAAACAGTTTGGATATAATAGGAAAGATGAAAATATCATAGAAGTACTCGGCTTGTAGAGGACCCAATGATCGAAGCCTCATACTATGTGTGCAAACTGGAGAAATGACCATATGTTTTGATTGCTAAAGATTATAAGCACTTAAATCAATGACAAGATTCAATCCTTCTTTATTATCGGTACTATCACGATTTAATATAAGAATTGACAACCTAAAGGATGAGTCAATGAAGAAGGTAACAAGTTGGTTTGCAAAAGAAGGTATGGAAGAAGGGCTAATAGTATGTGTGGTGGGAGAAGGGCTTATAATTTATAGTGGTTATGGACTCGTGAGGTGACATTCTACGATACAAGATGTTATCTCCTAATTTTTATCCTATTTATTGTTTTAAATTTTTCTTTAAAAAATAAAAAATGTCAAAATTAAATATTTTCTTAATCCATTTGATTTTTTTTAAAAAAAATACCTTTTTGTTAGGATTTTTAAGAGTCCAATAATTTTTGTGAGTTTAGAAAAGATTAGCAAAAAGGAAAATAAAAGAAAAAGAATAAAGAATAAAATAAAAGATAGAATTCAGATCCAATTAAAAAAATATGAGAAATAAGGACCAAATAAAATTCAATTAGAGGCATAGCTAAAGGAGATAAAAAACCAAAACCTTAATTGAAAGTAAATAAAGATGAAATTGAGATAAATAAAAAGAAAATAGACTAAAAAGTGTAATTAAAAGGCAGATTTGAAAGAAATAAAGACATAAACTAAAATAAAAAAGATGAAAAGATGGGAGACCAAACCAAATTTTAAACCTTAACTCTAGAAACCCAAAGAAAATTCAATTAGAGGTATAACTGGAAGAGATAAAAACACAAGAACCTTATTAAAAGTAAATAGAGATGAAATTGAGATAAATAAAAAGAAAATAGACTAAAAATTGTAATTAAGAAGCAAAATTGAAAGAAAATAAAGACACATAAACTAAACATAAAAAAGATGAAAAGATGGGAGGCCAAACCAAATTTTAACCCTTAACTCTAAGTACCCTATTATAAAACCCACACGTTTTCTCTCTTCTAAGGGTTGTTGAGTAAAAAAACACAAATAACTTAGCAGAACCTTTTTACCCCTTCTTGAATAATCAATAAGCGCTACAAAAAAATGCATAAAACAAAATAAGTAACTAATAATCTAAAAAATGAAATACATGATCACACAAAGAATACATAAATTTTATGTGGAAAACCTCATCAATTTGAGAAAGAAAAACCACAGGATCGGATTCCATATTAACTTTTACCATCAACAATAATGGCTAATATAAAGAGTCATCTCTAGATTAAATTAGAGGAATACATCAGCCACAAGCATCAAAAGTTACACAAAGAAAAGAGAAGAAACCAAGTTTAGATTTCATTAGAAAAATAGTACTATTTTGAGATCATATCTCACTCTTTAGGATCCAAAATTATATTTGTAACATTCAAAATTTTCCTATTTCTATCCCAAATATTCCCACCAAATCTAAGCTTGATCTAATGGTTAACGAATGCGAAAATTCAATTTTACCATAACCGACCAATGTTGAAACTTTCTTCATCTTTCTCTCTAAATTTACAGACTCTCTCTCTTTTTCTTTTCTTTCTTCCCTAAACTAGTATTAGAATTAAAAAGAAGAGAGGTTTTTTAGTAAATACCTAAGTTATCCTTCAAGTGATTAAAAAATTCTTTTTTCACATGGGCTCCAAGATTGGACTTACGTAGGCAAACCATTAGGTCATCCTTCGACTAAAAGGAAAAACCCAACAAGTATGTCCACGATAACTAGATAGAGGTATTTTCCATCTCAACAACCGAGCAAAAAACCTCAAGTTTCTCCCTTGGTAATGCTTTCTTCAATATATAGAAACCATTATCATTGGTATAGATTTTCTCAAGTTCTAACAACTTGAAATTCAAAACATCTCTAATCCAATAACATCGAACATTAATGTTCTTCAATCTAGCATGAAATATAAATTTTTTCCACAATGGATAGCACTCTAACTATCACAAAACAACACATACCTATCTCACTTAAAACGAGTTCCCGAACATATTTCTTCATCCATAACAACTTCTTACAAACTTTTGTTATCGTTATGAATTATGCTTCGATAGTGGAAAAGCAACATAATTTTATAGTTTAGATTTCCAAGCAATAATTCCCTATACAAAAGTAATCAAATATGCGAATGTAGACTAGCGAGAGTTAATATCTCCTACTATGTCTAAATCCGTATAGCCAATCAAGTCTAATTTTCTAGCACCATAAGAAAACTTTAAACTAGCCAGTGCCTCTATGATATCATATTATCTACTTTATTGCATTCCAATTCTCTTTTCCTAGATTTGATAAAAATATGCTAACTACCCCAATAATATAACCAAAGCCAAGCCTTGTACATGTTATAAAATACATCAAACTTTCGACAACTGAAGCATATGAAACTTTTTGTATCTCTTCTTTCTCCTTATTTATAGAAGAACTCGTTAGATGCTTGGCTTAAAATGGGTTGCAAGAAAAGAGCTAATCATTTTAACTTTGTCCATCTTGAATCTCCGAAGTACCTTATCAATGTACTTCTTTTGAGATAAGTATAAATTTTCAACTCGCTCTATCACGTTCAATGTGTATGCCTAAAATTTTCCTTGCCGGCTCTAAATCTTTCATGTCAAAGAACTTGCTTAACTCGTTTCATCAAGTTAGCTATCCTTGAAGCATTCTTGTTGATAATTAAGATATCATTTACATATAGCAACAATATAATAAAATCATCATTAAAAATTTTTTGCATATAAACATAATGATATGATGTGGTTCTTGTATAGCCTTACTCCTTCATAACCGAGTCAAACTTCGTACCACTCGCTTAGAAGCTTGTTTCAAATCATAAAAAAGTTTTCTTCAATTTACAAATTAGGTTTTCTTTGCCTTTCACCTAAAACCCCGCTAGCTGCTCCATGTAGATTTTCTCTTCTAAGTCACCATGTAAAAAGGCTATCTTGACATCCATCTATTCAACTTATAAGTTAAGACTCGTTGTTGGGTTAAGAAACACTCAAATAGATAACATCTTTACCACCGAAGAAAATATCTCTTCAAAATCAATACCTCTTTTCTAACTAAAACCCTTAACTACTAATCTTTCTTTAAATCAAGGATATGTGGCATATTGTTCATTCTTGATTCTAAACACCCATATATTTTTCAAAGCTCTTCTACCATTGGGTTGTTTTACCAATTCAAATGTACTCGTTCTCATGTAAAGACTTCATATCATCATTCTTCAACCCACTTCTCTTTGTTCTCATCTTCTATTACTTTTTTGTAGGATTTAGGTTCTCCACTATCGATCAACAACACATATTAACTAGTAAAGTTCTTATAGAAAGTCTTTGATCTTTGTTAGATCGTCTAAATGGATTTTCTAATAAAACATGCTCATCACCCTATTAACTATCCGACCCTAGTCATTACTTTATACATCATCATGCATCCGACTATTATCTTATAGGTCATTATCATTCCGTAATTCGTGCTCATTTTGTAAATCATCTTGCACATCATGTTCAACTAACTCGAACTTCCGGTGTAGAATGAACTAGGTCAACTAGCTTTATATCTACCAAATCGTTATAAGAATCGGTAATTATATGCTCTACCTTCTTAATAACTTGTATGGTCTAATCCTCTAGAAATACAATATCATGACTTCGACTATCTTTTTTTTAACCGAATCATATAGCTTGTAACCAAATTCGTCTTAAACATGCCCTAAGAAAATATACTATCTTGTCTTCATATTAAACTTAAACCTCTCATCTTTAGAAATATACATGAATGCCTTACACCTAAAAACTTTTAAATGATTATAGAATACATCTTTACTACTTCAAACCCTATTTAGAACATCAAATTATAAAGAAACACAAGGTGAGAGATTTATTAAATAAAAAAATAGTATTTAATGCCTAATCTCAAAATGACTTAGGCGATCACATATGAGAAAAAAGTATCGGACTCTCTCAACTAGAGTCATATTCATCATTTCAACCAACCTGTTCAATCGAAGTGTCTTTGGTAAAATCTTTTGATATTTAACGCCTTGAGTTATACAAGTACTCATCAAAAGGGCTTGAATATTCACCATCATTGTTTGTCTAAATAAACTTCAGCTTTTTTCCTATTTATCTTTCTACTAAAGCTTAAAACTACTTGAAAACACCAAGAACTTGATCTTTCGATCTCAAAGTATAAACTCTTACCTTCAATGAGTAATCATTTATCAATATCACAAAGTAATAGGAATCGTCTTTTGATATTGTCTTCATAAGCACCATACATATTTGAATGTACTAGCTCAAGGAGATTTTGTTTCTTTGTAGATGGACGAGCTCCTAAAGGAAACTCTATTATATTTTCTAGCCAAACAATATGGGCTCTTCTTCAAGTGATTATCCCGCATCTCAAACAATAACCTTTTTTTTTCAACACTATCTTGCTTTTCTCGATCATACGAGTTAATCTTTTATGCTATAGTTTAGTAGTTTCCTCACCTCTAACAACATTCACATCATCACTCAATAATTTAGCATGCATGACATATAAAGAGGAACACTTCTCTCCTTTTTCCATAGCTTCCATATATCATTTTTTAAAGTGTTACACAACCCTTCATCATCAAGTCTTTCAACCGAGATTAAATTCAAACAAAAATCAGGAACATGCTTCACATTCTTCAAAACTAATTTTACTTTAGTATGACTCTCTAAGCACACATCTCTAATATCGGTAACTATAGACAACCCATTGTTGCCAACCCTTACTCGTCTCAAAATCACCAAGCATATATGAGCTAAAAGACTCCTTGTGAGATATAATATGTTTTAAAGCTCCACTAACACTACCCAACCATACTCATCTAATGTTATGTTAACTTAATCAGTATTATATAAAATTAGCAACTCATTAGTTGCATTAACTCGATCTTCATTAGCATCATTGTCATTCTGCTTGGTTTTATTCTTCTTGTTATCCGTCTTTAATTTCGGTAATATTTTTTTATATGACTTATATCACCATAATGATAGCACTCCATGTTTGCAAACTTACCCTTGGACTTACTTCTACTCTTGCCTCTGTCTTTTGGACCTTTACTTTTACTCCTTCTTTCTACGGTAACTAGCACATCGAACTCGGGAAGAAAAATTTTAAGTCTTCCTTCTAACCTCTACATTAAGAATCCTATTTTTAGCATAAGTCAAGTTCATCTTCCCATTAGGATTAAAATTGCGAGTGTGACATACGTAATGTCTCCCAAGAATCCGATAATGAGCTAATTAAACACAACTTATATCCGTAATTTTCACATACTCATAAATGTGATCGACTATAAAAGTTTTCTCCTTATATCCGTAATTCATCCACTCGCTTAATCAAGTACAACTTGTTATTCTCGGTTTCCTTAGTAAAGAGATCTTTCAAACTTTTTCACAAACTTTTAGCATTCATCCCTTCTACAATATGATTAGAAATGTTATCATCAATGTACCGATAAATAAAAGCACAAACTAGTTCATTCTCAAATTTTCAATCCTCATCTATTTTTATCGCGAGCTCGGTCGAAGCAAATACAAGTAAATACTAACTCTTTACATATAATAAATCTTTCATTTTTCTCTTTCACATTTTATAACCGGTTCCATTCAAACTTATCATTTTAATGTTACTCTTCATATTGTTCAAGTCGAAAATAAGCAACCAAGCTCCGATACCATTTTGTTGGGCAAAGAAACACAAATAACTCGGTAAAATCTCTTTATCATTGTTTGAACAATCAAATAAGGGCTATAAATAAATACCTAAACCAAAATAAATAATTAATAATTTAAAAAATAGAATACTAATCTTACAAAGAACACATGAATTTTACATAGAAAACCTCCTCAATTTGAGAAGAAAAAACCACAGGATCGGAGTCCACAAAAACATTCACTATTAACAATAATGGGTAATACAATAAGTCCTCTCTAGATTTAACTAGAGGAATACATCAGCCACAAGCATCAAAAGTTACACATCCTTAGCAAAACTCATCAATAGATGATACAAAAAGAAAAAAGAAGAAACCAAGTTCGGATTTTATTCAAAAAAAATAACATTGTTGCAAGCATTATATCTCACTCTCCAAGACTCTAATTCATATCTTCACCGTTCCCGTTCGGAATGTGCACCTATCTCACTCGAACATGTCCACTAAATTTGAGCTCGATCTAACGATTAACCAATCCAAAAGCTTAATTTTATCATAATTGATCTATGTTGAAATTTTCTTCCTTTTTCTCTTAAAAATTATGGCTTTCTCTCCTTTTCTTTTCTTTCTCTTTCTACTTTGTTCCCTAATCCGATCTCGAATTAAAGAGAAGATAGGGTTTTTGAAAAATATCTAAATTAATCTTCAAATGATTAAAAAATGCTCCTCAATATAGACTTAAAGATTAGACTCATATAAGCAAACCTTTGAGCTATCCTCCAACTAGAGAGAAACCCAACAAATATGATAACCATTCTCCCAAAAATCCGGAGAAAAAAAAAACTCGTGAAACAACATACCTATAACCCGAATCCTCACCAAACCTCTCGTAACCATAAGTTGTCAACATCTCAACCTCTTAATCGTCGATCTCAACGCTCGACTCAACATCCGATAGGTTTACTCTCATTTTTCACCCGAATATTTGCCAACCATAAACCTACAATTCTCGTCCTCTCCAACTAATGTCAAAAACCACCATCGAAACCCTCACTTGCATCGCCTATCTCTCGCTCGATCTCCACTCCTCCCCGCTCGAGAGCCAACCGCCCGCCATTATCTCTCTCCACCAATCCGCCAACAAGCTCTTAGGTCCTCCAAGAAACTTTTTAATGAAAACATTTTTATTAAAGCGGACCAATGAAAACAATTTTAATGAAGAGTGTAATTGGAATTCAACTAATTACAGGCCCTTTTTGGTCCTAACAAATTTTTTAACTTATTGTACAATTTATAAAGATATATGAGGTATGATTTGTTGGAAACTACCAAAAGAGAATTATTATATATTTTAATAGGTCCAAAAGTATATTGACTTTCGTATTCAACCCAACATTGAAAAACAGCAATATATTTTTTTTCTTTTCTAAACTTATACTTATGTATGTGTGTATATATCTTAAATATTAAATTTTGAAAGATAATTCAATATATGTCCTTAATATTTCTTAAATTTAGTTAAAAAATTATTTTATATAACTTTTACTTAAATTCAGTTAAAAATTATTTTATATAGTTAATATTAAATTCAAGTCCCAAATTAATTTAACTATAATCATCAAAATTTATAAAATTATTTAAAAATCAAACGTGTTTATATTTAATAAATATTCAAATTGATTCATTTATACGTAATTCTAAACAATCTATTATAATTATTTTTTTTAAATACCATAAATTTATTAAATAATACACATATCAAGAAACTGATAAAATAAAAAAAGTTAAATAGATTTGATTTTTCAAAACACCCAACTTTTTTTTTCCTTAATAGTGTTACAATTCATAGAGCTCGGGTTGATTCCATGCGTCTAAAAGCCTGTTTCGGTTTTGAGGATTGAAAGTGCACGTTTTCGGCTCAAAACACACCTTTCCAAAAAGCCCAATTTTGTGTACGGTTTTACAATTTATAGTTTCCCCTCTTGGAAAACGCACTTCCAAGTTTGAACCCATTTGGTTATGAAACGTTCGGTAACTACCTTATTGAATTTAGTTTTAGGCAAGTCCTGCACCAATTGCTACACACATATTTGACACCTTAGTTTCCAGTCCGTTCAACTATTTATATTTATCATTCGTACGCTAATCTCAAGAGTTTTTAAACTCAATATTTACGTTATGCGGGAAAAAAATAAAAATAAAACTCAATAATCCACCAAAAGATGTTGTCTAATGATAAAAAGATTGTCTTGATTTAGTTAAAATCAAAATTCAATTCTCACTTCTTACAGATAATTATAAATAATTATTTTTTAGTGGTATCAAACTTGAAATCATTTGATCTAAAAAAGAGCCCAATGATAGACCAAAAACTAAATATATTATGATGCTTATTTAACTTAGAAAGTGGTAGGTTTAGTTTCAATTGGTACGAAAACCGATCCAAGAATACCTAATACTTGTATATATCAAAAAAAAAAAAAAACTCAATAATCATTTTTATAATTTGAATACTAGTATACTTTTAACAGTAGTTGTAACTAATTAATCGCTCTCTTTTTTTAATTATCCTTTTTATCCCTAAGGGCTTTAAGTTTTACCCACCACTCCTTTTTTAACTCTATTACCATAAATACCCAACCTCTAAGTTAAACAAAAATCTTAAAAGACAAGTATATAATTGTTTTCTTTTTAGAGAAAATATTAGTAATTTTTTTTCTTTTTTTTGGGAAAACCTATGCTCTTAAAAAGATTTCTCAATCATACCCTTTTATAAGAAAATAAATCAATACTAATTTTAGTTTTTTTATTGTATTATTCTCTAGTATTTCTCTCTACTAATTATTTTTGTTCAAATTGATGGTCAAGTGTGCAATACATGATTAATTTTAATACGAATTGATAAACATATCTTTTTAAATCAATAGAATATAAAACAAAAATATATAAGTATTCAAACCTTGGTTACACTACATCAACAAAGGGCATTAAATGCGGTTTTTTATCCTCTAGAGGCGGTTATATCATATGTAGAGACGGTTTTAAGGACCACCTCAAAACCGCCCGTAATGCCGCCGTCTCTATGGTGTAGGGGTGGTTTTGCCAACCGCCGGGAATTCGAGGCGGTTGTAACCGCCTCAAATTATTTTTTTGAGATGGTTCCAACCGCCTCTACGATACCAATATTATTTTTTGAGAGTTTTTGGCACGTAATTTTTGGGGCGGTTCGTAACCACCTCTATGTTCCTCACGAAATATTTAGGGCATAATTTTTTAGGCGGTTTTATTCTACGTTCCGCAAGCTTTCAAATTTATCTAACCACCCCAAACTATAGAATTTATAGAAGCGATTATAACCCTCTCAAATTTCAGAATTCATATAAGTAGATTTTATAATTCATAGAGACGGTTATATAATTCAAACTTCCGCCTTTGAATTCAATGGTTTTTTTTTTTGTCAAAAAAATAAATTAATTAAAAAAATTTAATCTTGTTGAATGCAAATAAAAGAAAAATTATATAATTTTCACAATATTCTTAAATTTGTAATTATTAAATTCCAAATACATAAAAAGGAACTAAAAATTATATAACTTACACAATATTCAACGATTTTATAATTCATCTTTTTAGTAGTTCCCTTATAGGCTACAAGGCAATGTTTTCTCTATTGGAGGCGCTTTGCGAGGAGATGAATGCATTGGAAGTCCCTTGCCAAAGGAACTAAAAATATCATCTCTAAACATTCCACCAAAAAGACCTCGAACCACCTTTCATGCTACCACTACCTCCCATGCCACCTCCACCTCCCACCTCCCATTACTCCAAATGGGCTGCAGAAGCCAAAGAATTCAGTAAAAATATTATCAACATTTCTCATATTGAATTTGAACATTGTCAGCCCATCTTCAATTGAAAAAAAGGTTTCTCCTCCTCGACCACCGCGTATCTAGTGGTGGTACCGGCCTTTGAGCCCTTCTTCTCCATATTGATCATATATTGCTCTCTTTCGAGGATCACTTAGAACTTGTTAAATGATCAACATACAAAACTTGAGTTCCTATTTAGTTATGCATGATCTAATAATATACCAAAATATGAGAAGCAATGAATTGTATATACACCATTAAAATAGAGCAAAATTTGATGGGAAGCAATCCTAAAAAGGCTAACATATCCGGGATTTAAGTAATCCCCTAATGCTAAAATACCATTTCAATATAAAAAGTAACTAATTGCCAACATCCCGTACTAGTATCCGACCTTCTTGAATAGAACTAGCACTTGATATGGAGAAAGCAATGTAAACATATAATAATAAAACGAACTTAAGCCATCCGGAGTAATAATCAACAACTATTATATAGAAAATAGATATAGACCTCATAAGCTTCGGAGATTTTTTTAATTTTTGCCTCGACCTTCTTTCTTATTATTTGGGTTCTTATCAGGATGCCATTTCATAGCAAGCTTTCTTCGTGTCATCATCTTTAGCATTCTTGTCAACCCGCAATATATTGTAGTAATCCACGCCCATTGCTATAATAAGATTTCTCTCGTCATTTTTCCTCTTTCTTTAATTAGTAATTTCCTGCTGAAACTTGGAAAATTGGTAACTCGAGAGTGCAAAAACTTGTTATACGTTGGTGGGTCAGTGTTTTGTTGTTCGTCGAGGATGTGGTGATGAGGTGTTAGTTTCATAGGATCGAGTGTCGAGACAAGAGTTGGAGAAAAAATAAGAAAGAGGAGGATGTGTTTGGTATAGAGTTTGCACTACTATGCAATACATAGTTTTGTAATGAGTTTTTATTCAAAAAAACAGGATTCCGTTGTTTCAAAAGTTATTCAAATAAAACTCGACCAAGAAGATATGAAGAGAAAACCCTCGAAGCATGTTTGCTATAGTAGTTTGCACTACTATGCAATATATAGTTTTGTCAGCATGTGATGGTATTGGGAATACATAAATACAAAGGTCTAATAAGTAAATCATGATAGAGTAGAAAAATAAGAAACTAAAAGAAAATCAAAATTTTTGCTTATAGAAACAAGTAGGTACCAAAAGTCTATTGAATCCTCGCCTGACCAAAAGCTCGAGTGAAGCCAGGAATAACTTTTCAGCAATAAGGGTATAGCATGAGCATCCCCGCATAGATGCAATAGCCAAATCATAGACTTTTTCGAGTGATAACGCTAAAGTTAAAGAATAAAAATGGCAAAAGGCACTCGCATAGACGAAAATGTTATGTTCCTACTTTTCCAAATTACAACTTGTGATAAAAGAGAACTTTGGATGGCATTCTTTTTCCAGATTGCCTTCCGGATATATACTTTATTAGTGCATATTAATCTAACATGTGAATCATAGTCAATGAAAACATTGAACAACGGAATTTAAGCGTGCATTCATAGTTGTAAAAGTCCAAATCCATAGCATTCTTTCATCAATCACATACTAATTTTTAGCATTTACAAATGAAATACGACTAATCAAAGATAGAGATAGTAGCCGATCATCCATATATCGAAGTTGCCAAAATATTCCTTCACTAATACTAACAGATTAAAGAAATTAAGCGTAAACTATAAATTAATATCGAATCATCAACCCTCTTGATAGCTAGCTACACTAGTAATGCATATCATCCACCATGTAGTCCATCATTATTGATCTCTTTAAAATCTTGGCTTTCTGTTTCCTTTGAATATTCTTCGGATACTTACTCTCCTTCTTCATCCTATCCTTTAAAGCACGAGCAACATTAAGCTTACAATTAGCCACATTATAAAACAGCTCCCAACCTATCAAAAACCGAGGTAAGCATCCACAGCTCCTAACTTAACCTTCTCATCACTCATCTCTCGGATCTTCATACATATAACAAGTAAGGAGCCTTAGTAAACCACTTCACTTTCTCCTCGGGCCTCACAACATCCTTGTGTTTGCCTAACAAAGCCTTAGCTACCAACTTATCCAAATCAAACTTGCTCATATGCTAGATTCGAAATATCAACTATCAACATGGCACATTCATATCTAAGCCATCAAGTAGTTATTCCAAACTAAACATCTATAATGCATATAAGCACACTAATTAATCAAAATAATAATAATAATAATAATAATAATAAAGAAAAAAAGATTTCTAAACCGATTAATTAGATATCCAATACGGATAAGAACTTAAAACTACAAAATAGAAAATCGAACTTAAAATGCAAATAAGGAAATTAGAAACGCTCAAAACGTAGTACAAATCGTACTTTAAATTAGCAAATGAATCAATAAATCAATGCTAGCTCAAAACACAAGTACGAGTCATGCTTTAAGTTAGCATATTTAGATTGAAAATTTAAAGGTAATTAGAAAAGAAAAGAGCGGGTAATCTAATTGATTGGCCACAAAATTAATTTAGCATACTTATCATTATAGAAGGCCGAAGCAGAGGAGAAGAAGCACGAAACGGAGGAGAAGAATGAAGAAGCGAGAGGAGAAGAAAAACCCCAAGAGGAGAGGAATAATGTAGCGTTCTTATCCCTTTCATAACGTAAAAAAAAATAGAGCAAAAAATGGAAGAAGCAGAGGAGAAGAAGCCGAGGTGGAGAAGAAAAGCTCTTGAAAATAAAGTGTCCGATCTTCGTCGCTTTCAAATCCAAAAAAATAAAAAATGAAACACCGAAAAACCCTAAGAGAATAAATCGATGAGAATAAGCAAAGGAAGAGAAGTTGGAAAACCATAAGAGAGGGAAAATGAAGCGGCGCCCTTCACCCTTTCGTAACCAAATTATATATATATATATATATATATATAGTATGAAATAAAAGTCATGCACGCCTCTGCTTAAGACTTGGGGTGGTTTTGTAAACCGCCTCACAATTGTTCTATAAAAGCCACATATCAGTGCAAATGCTAAAAGACTTTGAGACGGTTTACAAAATCGCCTCAACATTTCTGTCTCTATATTCATTTTTTGTTGTAGTGTTAGCTTGATTACATATCCAAGATTATACCATACAATTCATGTGAATGTTTGTTTTTACTTAAACGAATATTCTCTATTCACTCAAAGTGGTCTTTTGGTTTATTCATATTGAGACTATCATGTTTTGTGCACGTGATTGTTAATTCTAATGAAAATAATTGACATACAAAAATATATTAGAGAATAAGATAAAAAATAAATATTTTAATTGATTGATTTCTTTATAGAAGAAAGAGATTATAAATGATTCTTTATATAAGGACGATATTATAAATAATGCAATGCATAAGGATATTGATAGGTTTTTTATTTTATTTTTCTTTCTATCATAATAAATACACAAATACAACTGAAATTACTTTTGAAATTATTAATAAGACTTGCATGTAAACAAAATTACATATAGAGGTAGAGCCAAGCTTCGGATTATGGGATAAGTTTTTAATAGTATTGAAAACCTCAATAACAACCAGAATAAGCTTGTTAGATAACATATGAATAAATTTAGTAAGAATTTAATGAATTCAAAAAAATTTAAGCATCCTTTTTCGTAAAAAATCAATCCAAATTTTTGTACCCATTAGGAAGTATTAATTTTCGAGAGATTTCCTACGCAAATCAAGCTTTCCTAAAAACAATAAAATAGTTCAAAAATCAAACTTTTCTAACATAATTCGGAATTATTTAAAAAAAAAAACAGAAAACAATAAAATTATACATGGCCTATGTGGGATGTTCGGTTATCACATAAACGTCCAACGATATAGTGAACGACTTATATATATATAGGACGGGATGAGGAGAAATAGAAATCAATCTCTTTAACCTCCTATAGCTAGCAGCCGGCTTGAGCGGTCATCAAAACGATAGTAACATGAGAAAATCGTATGTTAGCGACAGAACCATACCACGTGAAATGTAAATAAGATGTAATCAACTTTTTCCACAAAAAACGTTCACACTTTGAAGTTGATATGCAATTCTTTTTTAACCTTTTTCATCTTTTTTCTTTCCAGAATCAATGCCTTAAAAGCGAACTACCTAGTCTATTCTTTTTGACAATGAACATGATGGGGAAGTTTGTTTAACAGCGATACTTACCAAACTTTTTATTGCATATCACATGCTGCAATCTCCCGAAAGCTCCATTGCATGCATGATTTGTCTTTTCTGGCAAGCTAAAACAGGTTGTTCTTAGAAAAGAACCAGAGCATTCTGTATATGTCAAGATTCACTGAATCTACAATGTAAATTAACTTAATTTTCTTTGATAAATATCACTCTAATTGAGTAGTTAGCTTGACGGAAAATTCCCGTTCACTTAACTTGACAATTCGTGAGAGAGAAAGGGCCTTGCTGGCTTGCTACATATTTTTAGAGTAATAATGTTGTTTTGTTCTGAAATATATAGTTCATCCCAGCAGATTAGTTTTCTTAATTTATATTAACAAATATTGATGATTTGGATTTTAATTGACGGACACGAACCATCAAATAGTTGATCATATTTTGTAGAGAATTCATTCTACTCATAGCATAGAGAGAGCTGAGAATTATCTTATGTTCAAGTTGCACATAACTAAAAGAAAAAGAATGAGAATTTTGCCCATGTAGGCAGTGGGGTAATTAAATCTTGAGTATAAAATAATTGGGAGCAAAATGTGTTTCATGCAACTAAACCATGATAGGCACTACCCGATCCCACAAACAAAACAAAACAAAACATGATCAAATGACGAAATCGCATGGAACTGAAGTTAGTGGAAAAGTAGGCAAAACACTAAAAAAATATTAAGCATCATCATAGCCGTTTTTCACTGTTGCCATGGAAACACAATCTTCAAAGCAGGGGCCACTTCCTTTAAAGTTATTTGACACTGTAAATTGGTGGGGGCGAGCAAATGATGCTTTGTTGGGTGAAGTTTTACAGGATATCATCATTGTAATATTCTTTATTTCTATCTGCTCGTGGTTAAACTAGTAAATTCTTTGTTAGATAATTGTCTCAAATTACGAGAGACTATACTCTATCACACTTTTTTTTTTTATCAAACTTGTTAGAGATAGAGATTATAGTCTAGATAAGCTTTATGTAATAGGTAATCTCAAGAAATTTTATAATACTTAGAGAGTAATTGGTGTAAATTATTTTACAGAGAAACATAAACACAAACTGAAGAGAGAAATAAGAGAAAGAGAACTAAAAAAAATTAAATAAACATAAAAATCTTTTTATTATTTTTTATGGGTCTGAATGTAATTCTTTTTTTTTTATGTATATATCTCTTTTTAAAAAAATATACTCATAAAATAACTAACATACATGTACATTAGTTACTCTTTGAATATTATAAAATTTTTCCATAAACTCTATCTAATAAGCCTAAATGAAAGTGAAATAACATTATACCCCTTTTTTCTACTGAAAAAAAGAGGAATTGAATTATTTTCCAAAAAGTTGGAATTGTCTGGCATTTTTTACTTACGAATTTCGTGAATTTCGTCTTTTACCATCAGTCTGTATCAAGTTAGAAATAGAATTGTGAACAAAATTCAAAGATATATACGAGAATATTCTTTGAAAAATATTAGCCACCCAAGATATAATCCATATTATTTTAAAAGATAAGTTGACGATCCATATGCAGTTTTGGTTCCTCATTGTAACTTTTTTTTCTTTTTTACAATGTAAAATGTCTTAATCTTCGAAAAATACTCATCTTTTACTGCTGAGTGTAGAGTTGCCTGATTTGTCAAAGCAAAACAAGGCAGGACCACGAATTTGTGATGCATATCAGAAATACATCATGTGAACTTCAATCGAAACTGCAATATTTAATATGCGTCCACCTTGATAGTGCAATTACCCTCACAATAATTCAAAACTTCAGTGTCACGTATGTAACCATGAATAATGGTGGTCGACTTATCAGCAACTCAATAGACAATGGACATTGTTGGTCCAAGAACAGCCATGCCTTTTTGTTTTTTGTTTTTTTTAAGTAGTTTTAGCATGCCTTTTCTTACTAGGGTTTTCTAGTTTTCTTTTGAAAGAGTTGTGATAGTCTTTATACAACTAGGGGGAATTTGATGAATAAAAATCGAGTTTTGTGAGTTCCTCTACATGTTTTTATTTTTATAGCTTTTGAATACTAACAAACCTACATAACTTTTTCTATATTCTGTATCAACACACAAATGATGTTTTTAAGTTATTGATTTAGGCAACCAAACTAATTCTTTTTTTCTTTTTTCTTTTCTAAAAAAACTACTTATTTCAGATGAAATGATACAAATCTACTATTGCTTTTTCTTTTTTTGGTTTTTTTCAATGGAAAAATATCTTAACAACTCGTTTTTGGTAACCTTGGCACATTTTCAATGTAGTGCTATGTCTTTTTTTTTTTCAGATTTGGAATAAGAAGAAATCTTTAGAACTAGAGAAGAAGATAACGGATGCGATTTAAAACAATTGGATATAAACAAAGCAAAATCAGACTTCCTTTTCCTTTTTTTTTCTTTTTTTTAAAAAAATTTGGAACCGACTCGGTTTGGACTTTTTTCCCACTCTAAATAGATATCTAGATCATTCCTACCCTAAAAGGGTGGGATATTCATCTTAATACTACCTAAATCCCGATCTATATTATCTCTTCTTACAAAATTTCTTGGACCCTCTCTATTTAATCTCATTCTACCTAAATCTTCTCGAACACTAAACTCATCATCACTATCATCCATTACTCCCTCATCTACTCGGTTCTCGACCTACCGCCCGTCCTAGATTGGGGTTTCCATGCCTTCGTAATTCATTCAATTTAGTATCATACGGATCCAATCTATCCATCATTTCATTCAACACTCTCTCAATCTACTCATAAGCTTGTTGCATGGCTTGATATTGTCATTGACCAATCCGATTGCTAGTTCCTTCCATGAGATCTTTATCTTTTGACATGAATGTACCTACACAAGAAGATGTTGGTAACAAAAATCCTCATAAATACTC